GGAGATCCTATGGATGGCGGCTCTGCTGGTGAACACCAGGAAGGCCTCGGGGACAATGCAGGTCCTCATGTCACTCAGGAGCTCCAGGCCGATGGGGCAGCCGCACTTGGTGGCCCGGGGTGTGAAGAAGCACAGGTGGCTGCACCCGCCATTGCCCTCAGCACACGGGTTGGTTCCTGGAGGGAAGCGCAGGCTCTAGACGGCTGTGGCCTGGCACAGAGAGGGACACGCTCCCTGCASGGCCGCGTCAGGCTCGGTTCCCACCACACGCCCCGTGTGGACAGTGGGAGGGGGTGGAGGAAAGCCCTGGAGAGCGGCAGTCAGAGTTCTCTCCCACATGGTCACACAGAGGGGAAAGTAACAACAGGGCCCTGCCCAGGGCAGCACCTGCTTTGACTCACTCCATCAACCGCAGAACAGGAGGCCTTCCCACCCTGTCCTTCAGCGGAGGAGACGGAGGCAGAGAGGCCTTGAGGGCAGCTGCCAGGAAGTCAGGGAGCAGCTCAGTGAGCCCCGGTGGAGCCCAGGACACTTGATTCCACCAACCAGTGCCGGACCAAGCTGCCCTCCCCAGGCCTTGACCCCTGGCCGGCTACCAGGACAGGCTTGGAGAGTCTCCCAGACAGTGCCCCTGGCCTGTTGACACCCCAGTGAACTCCAAAGCTCAGACTCACCAGGATAGCCAAGGTGCCTGGCCTTCATTAAGCAGACACGTTCATTAAGTGGCCGCTCATGTGCTCTGGGCCAGCCAGTTAGGAGCCAGCCTTTAAGTGCTCTTAAAGTTGGTTTTAATTTTGTGCTCAGTATTGAAGCTAGAAAAAGAACCTCTCCCGTCTGCCTCTGGGGAAGTCACAAGATTCAAGAGAGAGAGGGGAGGCCAAGGCCCAGCTACTCAGGCAGCCCCGGGGGCCTTCTGGTCCAGGTTTTGTTTTTGAACTGTCACCTGCTGGTGGGCTCCACCCTCCACAGTGGGCAAGGCCWTTTTTAAAGGTGGCTGGTAAAACCCGTCCACTGCAGGCCTTTGCCTCAGGACCTCAGGTGTGATAAAGGTTGGTCCCCAGGGAGAGGAAGCAGGCTGCCACTGAGGTGCCTAGGCACCTACCCACCAGATCTCTGCCCGCTGTCCTTCTGCCCAGAACCCTGCCTGACTCCTGCCCCCCGCCAAGCTCAGTCACCTCCCTTGTTTGCTTTCTGTTCGTTGGTAGTAGGGGGGGGGGACGTGGGCCCCACCCAGGCTGGGCAAGTGCTCGGCCACTGAGCCACACCCCCAGGCCCCCTTCCTATGGTAAAGCCAGACGCCCCTCATACCACAGCTGCAGCCTCCCCATGGCAAGCACCAGGCTATAGGAGACTCCACCTGGCACCGGGTTCTCACTCTTCTCTCACTGGCCCAGCTGATAAAGGTTTCCTGAGTGCAGCCGACACCCAGCCACGGCACAGGCAGCAGCCAGGAGCCCAGCCTCTGCCCGAGGAGCCTACAGCCCCCACCCACCACCTGGACTCTCTTCTCCAAGGTGACTCGCCCACCTGTATTTGAAATCCTTTTGGAAGGAGATAAATCCTGACTGAGCTCTCTGCTGGCTCTGGCTTTCAGGTAGGGTCAGGTGTCTGTGGTCCAGCCTGGTCACAGTGACAATGGTCACCATTCAGCCCCACAACAGACCAGGTGAGTTCTGGGCTTGGCCACCATGGCTGTGTGGCCTTGCCAGCCTCTCCCCAGTCACCATGACAAGCATCCAGGCTGCTGGGGGTACCAAGGACCTCGGCCCGGGGGGCACACGCTGGCTGCCAACACTCCTGGTCCTTCACCACTCCCCAGCCATCTCCCTGGGAAGACACATCCACGCCCTCTGTCCTGAACCAGACGCTTGCTAGTTCGGCTCCCAAGTGGAGTGCTCCCGCAGGGTACTTCCCATCTGGACCTGCTCGTGCCGTCCAGCTCAGCAGAGCAGTGGCTRGGGCCTCCCAGACTCACCAATGACCTTGGCCACGTTCACGGCTTTGAGTCCCATCAGGTCGGGCAGCTGGTCGATGATGACATCGCGGCTGGCCTTGACCTTGTGCACCCGCTCAATGCTGCGCCGCTGCCAGTCGGTCCAGTAGATGAAGTCCCCTAGCAGCGTGAACCCGAAGATGTGTGGGAGCTTGTCTTCCAGGAGGGTCCGCCTCTCGGTCCCGTCCACGTTGATCACCTACGGGACCAGGGGTCAGGGTCTGAGGCCGCACCCCGGGAGCAGGGCCTGAGCAGCCCAGAGGAGGCAGGTCCAACTCCAGAAGCTACGGCTCCCCTGCCCCTCACCAGGAACCACAGAACGCCAGGTGCTACGGCACGGGGGTGCTGGACAAATGGCGCTTTCATCCCGAAGCCACATCCCCGGCAGGTGGAGCAGCGACAGGGCCAGCTCTGGGCCCCCACAGCCTCCCAGACTTGGGTAGATACTGCGCTAGRCCAGGCCTCGTCCCCGTCACTGCTGTCAACAGGCAGGGCTGCCTGGATGGCATGGGGTGGACCCAGACCAGGTGGGCTCTGCAGGAAGAGCCCTGGGCTCTRTTAGCAACACCTGCCGCAGGTGCAACGGGCCCCGGGGCCACCGTCAACACACAGAACTCTGACAGGCTGGGCGACTGCAGACCTGGGCCAGCCCCCTTGCACTGGGAGCCCACCTCCCCTCGCTCAGGACCAGACGAGCAGCAAGGGCCTCTGGGTTCTTGGTCCGGCCTGTGGCCCAGGATGCTTCCTCCCTGTGCACTGAGATGGGGACACTAAGCTTTTCCGTGGAGAGTTGACACTTGGTGCAAGCAGCTGTGATGAAAGCCACAGGGGCCACTGGCCAGTGCGAGACACCTTAAGGAACTGAAGCAACAGATGGGTGGGCAGGATGGGCACTGCGGAGCTGGCAGCAGCCAAGCGCCCAGGACAGGATGGACGAAGCAGAGCGAGCCCGGGTCAGGAGGGCCTCAGCAGGCTGCAGAACAGTCACGCCTCCTGCTCGTGGCAAAGCTAAGGTGACGTTTGCAGGGCAGAAGCACGAAGCAGACTGCAAATGACCTGCAGAAAAGACGGGTTTTCTGCGGCTGGACAGCAAAGACAAAACTGCTGGGCCAATGAGTGACCCTCCAGCCCTGCCCATGGCACTCAGTGTCCTTGGGCAAGTCCTCGTACCCCGTGGACCTTGGTTTCTCCACATGTAACTGAGTCACCAGGCAACAAAGAGGCGTGACCGGCCCAGACCTGCAGCCATCTACTCCCCAGGGGCTGGGCCAGCCTCCAGGTGCCCAGGTAGGCCTCACCCGGAGGGCGGAGCTAAGGCTGCACCAGCCCCTGCCCTGAACTCTCCCAGCCGCGGGAGCAGGAAAGGGTAGGTGGGGTGGCCTTGGTCTACAGTCTGGGTCCTTGCTTCTGTTTTGCTCCCACAAGAAGGATCGCAGAGGCAACCCCAACACTGTGCAGAGGGCAGCTGGGAGGCTGGGGCCAAAACCCACAGCTGAGGAACTYGCAAAGGACCTCAGAGGAAGAGGGTGACGGCCAGGCTGGCACTGCTCCCTCACTCCCCACCCTTCCTCCCCACTCTCAAGTTGCCCAAAAAGTGGGAGGAGGCAGAGCTCTCCTGGGGTGGCTCAGGCCGCACCCCAGCACCCCAGCCAGGGAGGCGGGGCTCTGGGAGGGCTTCCCTAGGAAACGCCCTGTGATTGGTGGAAGCTGCATCCAAGGCACCCTCAGCACAAGGACACAGAGCCCCTGGGCATGAGGCCCACAGGCCGCTCCAACACACTGGGGAGGAGAAAGGATGCCTCCTGCGTTTTTTTTTTTTTTTTCTGGTGCCGGGGCTGGAACCAGCATGTGCCCCACTGGGCCACGCCCAGGCCCCCCCCCTTCTGATGACAGTTTCAGCAGCTCTTGACCAGCTGCAGCACATCTGCACAAACACTCGGATCAGGACTCCCCAGATCCCTCAGCAGGAGGAGGGGAGCCCTCGATCAGGGCCCCGTGCCCAAGCCAGCAGCCTCTCTCCYCCCGGGGCCAATCCTTCCTGGGAATCCGAACCTCTCACTGAGCAGGTCACAGAGAACAGGCGCACTGCCTGCGGGAGGTGGCGGGTCACCAAGAACTCAGAAATCGCAGCTGCGACTGGACACCTGTGGACGCAGGTGCCAGGAGAGAACCCGGGAGCCAGGTTTTCTAGAACAGGTTGGCAAACATTTTCTGTATAAGACAGAAAATACTTCCAGCTTTGAGGCCACAACAGTCACCAGAGCCAAAAGCAACCAGAGGGAACGCACAGACGCACAGCTGTGGCTGAGGGCCAACCAAACTTAGTTCGTGGAAAAACAAAAACAGAGTGGATTTGTGGACACTGAAATTTGAATTTCATGTAATTTTCACAGGTTATGAGAGATTCTTCCCCCAATCATTAAAAAAAAAAAAGTCAAAACCACTCTTAGCTCGAGCATGGTTTAAAAACGGGCAGCACAGGGGGTCTGGTCTGTGGGGCACGCTTTCCACCCCCCACCTTCCGGGGCCTGGTTTTTCAGGAAAGGAAATTAGACCCCAGAGGCTCTGAAGGCAATGAGAGGGTCCAGCCAGAGGCCAGCCGGGCTGCCCCGGAGCTCTCTACTTCTGCTCTCGTCCCCAGGCCTCCCTGTGAGGCCGTCACGGACTGGCAGGACAGCAGGACAGCAGGTGCAGGATGGGAGGAGGCTGGGTGGCTCCCAAGAGCCCAGCCTCCACTGTCTGCAGGCTGGCCCACAAGACGGTGGACACCAGAAAGTCACCAGACATGCCAGTTCCTGATGACCAGTCCTGTTTCTACCAACCTGGCAGTGCACCCAGCTGTGTGCCCAGGACCAAGCCACTGACCGCACAGGTGAAGGGAGAAGAGTCCTCTTCCCGATGCCATCGTGAGCCCACCGCCAGGTGCAGACCCCAGTCACACCTGCCACGGTGACTGTTTTACCCCAGGACAGGGACCTTGAGCTCACAGCTCTGTCCTTGGTGCCTGGTGCTCCAATTTCACCCAGGACTCATGGACTAGACCACATCGCCAACTGGACTCCAGTCACCGTCAACCCGCCCTGTGAGTTTATTATGGACATGTCCCTTGTCACTTCCCCCTGCTTAGTAAAGGTCCAGGCAGGAGACACAGGTCTGATGAGTGGCAGGTGGGGTCACTGAGGGGGGGCACAGGTCATTCCTGACACAGCAGTGCGCTGTATGTCTGACTRGGGTCAGCACGGAGACCCCAATCCAGCTGGGCCTCAGAGGGCTCCCGTGTACCTCAGAAGGGAAAACAGCCCACAGGTGGTGAGGTGCCGGCGGACCTATGGCCGAGAGGGCATGAGCACTGGACAGGTGTGGACAGGTGACATAGAGCCTGGAGCCAGGAACCCACCATGTGGCTGTGGGAGTGGGGTGCATGGTCCATGTGGGGGACCACGGCACGTGGCTTAGGGTGACCCAGGTTTCCAGGGGTCTAAGTCTCGATAAGGGACCTAGATGAAAGGAAGAGCCTGGGGGGGCCAGGCTCAGCTGTCACAGGGCTGGGGTCTGCACCACCAGAGGGAAAGAAGGCAGGACCCAAGCGCCAGCCCCTGAAACGCTCGGGGAGACAGCGGAACCAGCCAGGCCTGCAGATGAAGGCAAGGAAGGCTTCCAGGTCAGAGGAGCCGCACAGCCGGCCAGGAAGCCCTGGGGGTGGGCGGGAGGTCCGCCCTGGAGGGTGTCTGCAGGGGCTGAGTGCAGCCAAGGGCTGGAACTTCCGATCCCAGGGGACCTAGCAGACTCGGGCAGAGGGGCGAGAAGGATTCCTGGGCAAACCAGGGTCATGCTGGACTCCAGGCCCAGGCAGCTGGAAAACCTGAGAGCAGGGGCAGTGGGGGGCACAGGGAGGCTGGGGCAGAGGGCAGTGGGGGCAGGGGG